ATATATATATATATATATATATATATATATATATATATATATATATATATATATATATATATATATATATATATATTTATATTTATATTCATACAGTCATCCACTATTGCATGCACATTTTGTTGTGAATCATAAATATAAACATCATCATTGTTTCTTTACATATCAGATATGTTCTCCCGAAGTTTTGCTTGGGAAGTTTTACGAAACGATGATAGGGTGAAATGAAAGGAGACAAATGACTTAAGAATCTATTTAACCGGAGAATTTATTCTGTTAAGAGCAGATAACCGGAAAAGAGTGCGGCTAACGTTTAGGAATAATAGCAGTCACTGAAAATTTGTTATTCTGCTTTCAGACTAAACTGTTATCTTCCTGCTTACTCGCTTATTTCAGTTGCAGAACTAGAATTTGTTTAATTAGAAAGTTTGATATTTGAAAGTGAATGTCATTAATTTTCCAAAATTTAGATTTTGTAAAAGAATGTTCAATTCGAAATTTCACAAATTTTTGGTGCTATCTGTTGTCAATTAGCAGTCCAAATAGTTTTGATAAAAATCAAATGTTAATTCTTGTTATGAAAACACTCATTGAAATGAGAGATCAACAATTATCACGAGTTTTATCCATAATTTAGAGAGGGAACAGGTAGAGATTAAGCATTTGCTGATAATCTGAGAGAAGCTTACAACAGTGCTAGTAAAATGCCAACAGCTGCAAATCTGTGATACGGAACGTTACTTGGCCATTTCATGCAATTCTTCTTGTCCACTGTTGTTGATATATCAGCAATTTAGTATTTCAATTCTGAATTCAAAATTTGAATGTTTATTAAATTAAAATATCGCTTTCATATATGTACATGGTAATTGGAATATTTGCTCAAAGTATTCGTGAGAGAGATGAGATCAAGCTATTATTAAATTATTCTTATATATTTGATTATCAAATTATCAGTTTGAATACTGTTTGGATCATACAAACGATGTTTGATTACGAAGTATTTCACAATGTGCATTTATGACTGCAACAAAATAATTTCGATTTTAAATTATTATTCAAATATTTTCAATTAAATTTTATTTGTGAAAATTATCTCTAATCGATGAACTTGCGATATGAGAAAGTATCTTTGTAGTGCTTGCGGTGGAAGGCATTCTTCTGAAATGTATCATATATTATTTAAATGTAAGCGATTATTCTGAACGAGATCAAAATTCGGTCCAACTTTTAATCTGAAACATCGATAGATTTATCGAATTCAAAACCTAACCTTAATTTTGATGCCTGCACATTATCGTACTCTTACATTTCCTCACCTATATTGCCTTTCATTGTGTTTAATTTATATTGTAGTCATTGAATTAAAAAAAAAAAGTGTAAAATTGGAAAGGGAAAGAAACCGAAGAAACCATTACTAAACAGTTACGACGTCCACTGCTTGCGATTTTTCTAATTACATTTCTCATCTTAAACAGATGAGATAAATAAAAAGGTGAAAAAAATGGTTAATTAGAAGTGAGTGTGGCAGGATCTTGGAGTACTAATAATAGTTCAAAGGAACCATTGGTATGAAAACAAATTTGCCGTTGAGATGGATAGATGGCGAAGGATTTTCCTGATTTGAAAAATTCTTCATCATATGACCTTTGACTCCATTTATTGTATCTAGAAGAGGAAAACAGCTGTCCACTTTTGTCATTTTAATGCTTATGATTTTTATCACATACACAATTACTATGTTCAAAATCAAAATTTTATGGGTTTTTTTTCTTTTTTGTTCGTGGGATATTATTGTAAAGCAATGATATGGACTCAATCTTAAATTCGAACAATTTACGATTGAAATTTGAAGGAAAAAATGAATTTATCGATCGACTGATGGTTTGGCTCATTCACTCAATAATTTACCATTACACATCACTTGATCCGATATTTTTTGGAATATACCATTCATATCAATGAGCTGCTAAGAATTTTGATTATACACATCTTGAAATTTTCTGTACAAAATCTTAATTATATTTCGATCAGTGCTAAATTTATGATTACTTCAAAAATTTCAATTTCTCAGAAATGGAAATGTTGTCAACGTTTTCCAGAAAATTAGTTGACATGTCCTCTGAGTACAGCAGTTTATGAAACGTACTAAGTAGTGTATTTCTACTAAAAACTGAATAATATTCAAATAGTGGTATCAGTGTATCGTAGCATACTAATCTTCAGAGAGTCTTTTAACACTGATCCATTTGTATTTTGGTTTATCACAAAAAAATGTTAATCGATACATCAAGGAGTTCATGTGTTCCCACAAAGCTTTGGTAAAAAAAAGAAATTTCTTTTTTAACTTTGACAATTAGCTAACTAATTACAAATCATTGTGATGAATGAATGGAGTGACTCATTTCTTTATCTCAATAATGATATGATAGATCATGCCTTTCGTATGAGCAGTTTGTGAGTTCAGTTTAAGCTTCAAATATTTAAATTGCAGCAGTGTATGTCTTACCTTCAAAATATCAAATTAATGAATGAGCATTGTTGAAGAGTGTGAAGGGACAAATAGGTCGACTACATTTCTTCAACTTCAGTTATTTCTTTTAGTTAAGTTTAATAGAAATGAGAAAGGAGATGATAAAGATGCAAACTGCAAAGATCACTTTTATTTCTGGTGCTTTTTTTATCACTCCTCTCAACAACTGTGCTTCTTCCGTCACTCTCGCAATCCCTTTTCATTCTTCCTTTGGTGTAACAAATTTTTCGATCCGTTTTACGTACAACTATTTATAACTAATTTTCATTTCATTTAATTAATTATCCCCTCCCATAAACTTCCATTTGAGTGAATGATCAAGGTGTGACACAATATTTATCTCAAATTTTACCCAAACCAGAAATGCATTGATAGGTTATATAAATCAGATTAATGAGATCCGTGTGCCAATTTGATAACAATAAGTTGCTTATTAAGCTTTGCATTGGGCTCAGAATAAGTAGGTAGCCATTATTCTGCTTATTGTTTCAAATTTCATTAAAGTATTGTGATTGTTTTCTAATTGCTGTAAAGGTTAGAATAGCATGTGATTAAAAAAATAGGTTAATCACTTTTTAATGAGATCACAAAATCAAATTTAAGGTTTTCGGTAGTCAGGATATACTGCTTGCTTCTATATCAGACTAAGCGTACGCGGCACTCAATTACAATACCATCAGATAGAGATATGAGCTTATCATTGAACTAACCAATGATGGATAATATAGTAACAATATAGAATAACATGGTAAACCCCAACGGACTAGTATTTTCCTTAGTATTACTGTTCATATCAATGGGATGCTGCAATGAAGACGCCAAACGATTGCATGATGATTTGATGGCCAATTACAACAAACATCGACGACCCGCTCCAGCAATTAATAAACCGATAACTATCAAGCTAAAGTTACGACTATCGCAAATCATCGATTTAGTAAGATATTAGTAAAATATTTCGATTTATTCATACCTATAGACCTACTTAAACAAACTCTTTTTTAATGAATAAATGGCTTTCAAATTTTATTCAAATATTTCAAACAGATATGGCGTTGGATTATAACTCCTCTTTCTCCCCTATCCCGAAAAATACGTCCCGATAATGATACTAATGGGAGTGTCAAATTTGAAACTGTACTTTTGCAATATTTGAATAATGCCTCCCTTCCTTCCCTCAGGAATTCGCAGTGTTTCAGAAGAATATCCCCTGAATTTCTGAACAAACATGGAAATTCCCAAAGAGAAAGAAAGAAAGAAACCGAATTGTTGAATTCAAATCTCAAATTGTATTTAGCATGAAATCAATCAGATAATGACATGCAGTGTTTGGCTGAAACAAGTTTGGATAGACAAAAAGCTTTCTTGGAATCCAAAGAATTATGGAGGTGTGAATGTACTGTACGTACCATACGAAATGATTTGGGTGCCCGATATTGTCCTTTACAATAAGTAATGATTTTCATGAAAGATTTTAATTTTATGTGGTATCTTAAGGGAAATAAAAATTGAAAATATGAGTAACATGAATGAATTAAACAATGTTTAAAGTCAACTTTATTAGATTCTTCAGTTGTAGTTGATGCGTACGAATTTCTTCTTGAAAGTTGACCTTTCTTTATGCTAATTTGAAATTTGAAAATCGATCAGTAATAAACAAACATATTTCTTTGAGCAATAATATATGGATAAATTTAAAAAAAATAACTCACGATTTCATATTCATTTTCATTTTTTTCATTTTCACTTTTTTTTTTAGTGCTGATAGTAATTACAACATAACGATCAGTACAAAGGCAACCCTCCGATACGATGGTGAAGTGACGTGGGAACCACCAGCAATTTTCAAAAGTTTATGTCAAATCAATGTCAGATGGTATTCCTTTCTTTTTCATACTAAGTCTTTCCGGTCAGCAATACTATTGCTTTTGATCTATCCACTGATTAGGCTGATATCGATTTGATTTCATTTGAAAAGAATGGAGCTTAAGTAGCATTTAAACAAACTTGTTGTCGGAAATTTATCAGTTAACAAAAAGTTACTTTTAATAACAAATTATTGCAGGTTTCCCTTCGATGAACAGCGTTGCCATTTTAAGGTAATCATTTTTGCATTTTATAATATTTTGTAAATATTTTATGAAAATTTTTGAAAAGTACTTTTTAAAAAAATCTCTCACAAGAAATAAAAAAAAATTTGTAGTTTGGCTCTTGGACCTACTCTAAAGATTTATTGGATCTGGAATTATTAGGGGGTGAGCCACATTATGAGCTGGAAGCTAATGCAAACGGTGAAGTAGACAATATCACCATTGTCGATGATGGAATCGGTAAGTAGTTTTTTTCAAAAATTACAGTAATTTTATCGAATAGCTTCGAATTTAATGAAACCTCTCAGACCTAAATTGCATACATTGTTAATGAGGATAAGTCTGTATGGCAGTTGGGGAAGAGTAACTTATATCTATAAGTTCAATTATCGAAGGATATCACACGTTTTTCACTTATTAACTATTAAATTAGCTGTGCTTGAACTACTGCTGCATGGTACGAAACAATATCACACTGCACAACAATTGCGGCATTGCAGATTGCAATTATAATAAAGCATTTATAATGAGAACAGCATCGAAGAAATATTTTATTTGTTGGTCTGTTTCATGCTTACTTCCTTCTACTCACATGATACTATATATGTTGTACTAGATCTTTCGGACTATTATCCATCGGTAGAGTGGGATATCATATCACGAGTTGCAAAGAGAAGAACTAAAAACTATGCCAGCTGTTGTCCGGATGAAGCTTACACTGATATTATGGTAAGTCCATTTTAGTTTTCAAATTAAAATTTAAAACTGAATTCAAGATCTCACTTATTTGTCTAAATTTCCATTCAAATTTCCATATCTCAAAATAATAATGTAATGAACCTCTCTGTAATTATCTTAACAAAAAGATTGTTAACTTCAAAAATGAATTCATTAAATTGATTTGATTCAAACGTGTGCCATAAAATAATGCTTTAATTCAAATTGTAATTCATAAATTGCAGTACTACTTGGAACTACGTCGGAAGCCATTATTTTATACAGTAAATTTGGTTTTTCCGTGTGTTGGCATATCATTTTTGACCATTCTCGTCTTTTACTTACCATCGCATAGCGGTGAAAAAGTTACTCTCTGTATATCAATTCTTGTTACCTTAACTGTCTTCTACTTGTTATTGGTTAGTTATCATGGTTCAATAATAATGTTTTTGAACTCTGCAATTTTTTTTTTTTTTGTCAACTACAAACTAACTTTTTTAATTTCTAAGTAACATTTCCAGACCGAAATTATCCCTGCCACCAGTATCAGTTTACCGCTAATCGGTAAATATTTACTATTTACTATGATTATGGTTACACTCAGCGTAATAGTCACTGTTATATGTCAGTTTCATTATATTTTTAAGTTCCTTTTTTTAATTTACTAAACACAAAGTTTGAAATTTGGTGAAATAAGGAAGTATTCACAAGAGTTCAATTCAAAAACTGAGGATGAGAGCGAGGCTTTGAGACAATTGCGCATTCCTTTATAACTGTAATCAATCATTAGGAATAGCCCGTTACGGATATCTTCGATTGTTTTCCTCTTCCATTTTTATATTATAGGCACACTGCCCGTTATTTTGTAATGCAATAACCATTCTAGAATGATGTGGTGAGAAAAGACTAAAATCTTTTGGAAAAGATCTCCTGTCTTCTGTACCTGAGGAAAGCCAAGTTTTTTAAGCTTTAGCTGAAATTGTGGAAGTGAAATTACCGAATTCAATTAAAGTTAAAATTGCAGCTTTAAATTTGCATTTTCGAAAGCCTACGACGCATCGCATGCCTGAATGGGTAAAGTGGTTTTTTCTTAAGATATTACCCAAAATGCTGTTCATGAGACGACCAGTGAGTGACACCAACGACCTGTTCTATACAGGTAAGATAAGAAGCGAGATAAGGACGAATTCAGGATAGTAAGTTCATGAACAGTTGTGTTTGGCGTGCAATTAAATGGGCGCTGTAATCAACATCCATATCATCAGAACCTTATGCCGATCTTGATTGTAATCGAACCAGAATTTGTTGCTTTTTATTTCCGATTGATGAAAAGGCACTTTTCGAAATTGTCTCAGAACAGAAATACTATTAAAATGTTGAAAGAATGGGACAATTTGGATAAATCAAGTTGCTTGTAGCTAATGCGTAGATGAAGATGAAGCTCATATTTTTTTCCCTGATAAGATAAGTAAAAAAGTTAAAGGTAGCAGCACTATCTGCAGTTTTCTTTATAGATGAACGAATAGCGATGACCTATCATGAACATGCAATAAGTGGAGATCACAAAAATCTGATTCTGACTGAACCGGATAGGCGAATTCAGAAATTGTACCATTTACCTTATGTGGTAAAAGCATTCGAAAATATTTGCTTCATTGCCGAACTACTCAAGAAAAAAGACAAAGACGCTAAGGCAAGCAATTTTTGTCGTGTGCTGCGGGATTCTAAAAGGCCTGGCAATATAATTTCTAGGATGCTTGTTTGTGGTTTAGAAGTGAGAATAGGAGCATGATAAGTAAGTCAGTAAGTCAGAACAGTTGAGAAGAGCTGAATCGAGTAAGTGGATTGAAAAAAATGTTGAAATCCAGTATCTTGAAAATTTTTTTGTTTGTTCAGAATAAAACTCAATCAGTTTAGGTGGATGAAGATTGGAAGTACGTTGCGATGGTACTAGACCGGTTGTTTTTGTCACTTTTATCGATTGCCTGCTTTGCAGGGACCATTACAATTCTCCTTCAGGTAAGTTTGAAGCAACAATTTCCAGGAATTCTTAGAGCTTTTAAGCAATGTAGAATGAATGCGGACTAATTTTTCAAGTCTAGACCCGTTTTTTTGTTTATTAGGTCTAAATCAAGCCTAAGCCCAAATTTGCTTCCTTAATACCACGCCATGTCAATATGAAGATACTTTCCACTGCAGGCACCAACACTTTATGACACTCGACAAGCCATCGATTTACAATATCGACCCGCAAATATTACTTAAAGAAGATTTGGAGTATTTTTGCAAGGCATCAGCCACTAAGTGCTGTCTTTTCATGTTTTTAAGCAAATTCCAGAATTAGCAGCATGAATTTGAAAATTTATCCATAGCGACATACTATGTATGCTTTTGGAACTACGAAGTAGTGATTATTTGGGAGGAATGAGAGAGAACAACCGTTGAGATAAATTGAGTTCAAATTATAATTTCTCTAGATGACAAGAAAACAGGAACTTTCTAATGAAGCTAACTTAACGTTGTACAATATTTTGAAAAGGAATCGATAATTAGGAATTTTTGAATAAAAATAAAACATTAACAATATATGCAAGATGTGTAAAACACAGAATAAATGATAAAGAAGGAATAACTGTTAACCTTCTCTATTATGGCAGCCGGCTGCCATAATAGAGAAGGTTAACAGTTTTTTTTTTCAGGATGATACTGCATTTGAGAGTGAAAGAACTTTGAAAATGATTTGAAGGAATGAACATTTCAATTTCATCTTTGGTTTCCTAAGCTTATCCAAAACGTCATATCAACAGCCTCTCAGACTTTCATTGTGGGGACTCTAAAGAGATACAGTGATCAGCGATCAAATGATATTATATCCCAACAACTGACTAAGACGTCAGTAAGAAAAAAATTAAACAACAAATCCCCGCGGTTAGTAAACAGAATGGGTAAACATCGCATATTAGGCACGCAACAAAACGAGATGAAATTACTGCAACAGTTTACCTTGATATTCTTTTTTGCTTGACCAACATTAACTGAATCGAATAGCAACTAGTGTGACAGTGCTGCCATTATTCTTCTTGATGACTCTTGAATTCTCGAATTTTGAAAAGGAAATGAAGCATTACCTAACAAATCTATTCTTCGCATTCATCATAAAGATTGGTTTATTTTTTTAGAAGCATTCTAGAAAAATAAATTTTATAATTTTTCATGTAAAAGTGGTATTGTGTGGAAAGCATTTCAATTTTAAAGGCTAACAGTGAATAAACCTTTGTAGGCTGAAATCCAAAATTAAGAAAATTTCAATGCGCAGTATGTTTGGGTAAGTTTTATGATAGGATTAGAATGCGACTAAAATTTGAAAAGTTGAAGCGCAAACAATGGGGACGATCCGGACGATACTTCCTTGGTTTGCTGATAAATTGAACATTCAGGACATTATCAGTAGATGGAAAAAAGAAAAAAGAAACAGAAAGCGATAACTTTCTGTTTCCATCTAACTGATAATGTTCTCTTTTTCGAATTCTCTCTCTCTTTTTAATTTTTATTGATATATTTTACTAATTTGATGCAGCAATAGAATGACAGATATAAAAAGTTCATAAAAGTACGACTAGAAATGAACTCAGTTAAATTCGAAAAATAAAAAACAATTAGAAAAAAAGAAAAGCAGAGATTCCTTCTATTACGATTACCACTCAAGTTAAATGATGATAATTAGTAATTCTAGCAAAGTGATAATGATTTTAGTAAAAAGTACCGTACTGTTCAAAGACGAAAAAATGCGGGAAAGTAAATGAAAACTTCATTGGCTGATTGTCAGTAAGAAAATCTCATCAAGGTTTCGTGTCACCTAAAACTACTTGACTTGACCCTCGTAGCATATGTTACGTGATTTCCCATTAACATATGCATGGAAATGCATTTCTACTGAATAAAGATTGCATTCCTATGAACATAATCTGCACACGTAGTCAAATTAACCGGAAAGATAAAATGTAATATTATGTATAATAATAGAATGTAATACAATTGCACTTATTGCATGGAAATCAAAAATTTTTTGCGCTAAAATAATTTCGTCATTAAACTCAGAGTCTTTTTGAATAAAAAGATATGTGGTAATTGTATAACAGTATTCTGAAGTGTTTTGATAAGTTTCTATTTTATATTTTAAGGGTAATGTAAGTTTTGTTTTAAAAAGTGCATCACATAACGAATACTCTTCTTCCATCATGTAAGCAATCCTCAACTTTTAAAACTCATATTAAAGTGGAAAACTCACAAAGTCAATAAATTACCTTAAAAAATCGCTCCCTGAATTGTAGACAGAGAATTTAAAACTTAGATAAAATAACGGACTATATCTACTTGTTTTAAATGGTTGAAATATGCCTAGTTAGAATTCTAAAATCAAATCTCATCATGGGACCAAATCAAAAGGCCGGTTCATGGATACGAGCTTCTATTTTCAAAACTTAGAAGGGTCAGATGTGCCTAACTTATCGTCCTTAGATGTGTCAACTTATTATTCTTAAATATCATTCAAATTTTCCGACTAAAGAAAAACAATTGTGAATAGTTGAAATGTACTGCAAAGAAGAAAATTAGAGCAAGCAGTTTTAAGGGAAATTATAAGTGTTAACAACCCCAATCGACCTCTGCATTAATCCATTGCGACAATTAATGAAGCGACAATCCACAGAAAGGACAAGATAGTGCAGCTGATCTTATCGCTTCTTTTTTAATATTTTCAATCATCTCTCTCTCTCTCTCTTGCAATCTCCTCTGTTCCATTAGATCATTTAAAGACAAACTTATTGCTTAAAACTAAGATAATCATATGAAATGATAAAATGAACCCTATTTTAAGAGTGGTAATGACGCTGCAAACAATTGCATTAATTAAAACGGAAAAGTGGATGAACTGTAATTAGAAGTGAATCTTGTTCATAAGTAAATTGGTCCTCTCTTCTCTTCTTTTGCTACAAACTTTCACCTTTAATCTATCCAATAGATTAAGGTGCTTCATCAACCCAAACTTGTCATGCGTTGATCTTCAAAAGTGAAAGCGTAACATTACGCATAGGTTAGCATTGCGCTCGCTATCTCATTAGAAGTCCGATACCCAGTTTCTCCACACTGTCTCATTATCATTCCTTAGTCAACAAACAAAAATGGCCAAGAGCCCATATTCAGCAGCGGCCAACATCATTCGACGATCGATCTCTTCGATATGGCCAGACCAAATGGCAATATCGACACAGATTGTTTGCTGAAGACGTTCAATGCGGACATGATGCTGTTTAACGTGAAGATACCGTGTGCGTACGTGCATGCGTACGTATATATTGCAACGGCTACATTATAACCTTTCTGCATGCAGGAATGAAATCAATCGTTATGCATTCTTCAATCATTTCATAAATGGTTTGCATACATACAAACAGCATAACGTCTTGTTTATGCTTGCAGTAAATATGCATACACGCATACTGCAAACACATACATACATACATCCATACATAATACATACATGTATACATATATATATGCATACATACACACATACATACATATGTATATACATATATGCATACATATACACATACACATACATACATGCACACACATAGATATACACATACAAGCATACATCATACCAATAATCTTTCTCCTATGAGAATCATTCACTCTATGCCTGCACGGCTTTGACATACTCCGAGTATCGTGTGTGTATGTGAGTATATGTGTGCATGTATGTGTGTATGTGTGTATGTGTGGATATATGTGTGTATGTATGTGTATGTGTGTATGTGTATATGCTTTACTAAACCACTCTTTTGAGGTGAGCTTATTGATTCGCAGTAGTCTTGCTTTCTGCTTCTCCCAACTTGTTTGTCATTCTGATACACATGACAGTCTCTGCATATATATATATATATATATATATATATATATATATA